AAGAAAGAGCTCTCAGTCAGTCAGGTGAGTCTAGAGAGAGACGCTCTCTAACTTAGTGAGAGAATTCCCACTTCGTTTGCTCACTTTTCTGGCGATTTTTTCTTTTCTTGATGTTCAATCACTTTCTTTTTCGGTGATTCTGGTCTTCTCTACGGTTTGGATACCTGGGTTCATTACTTTCCCACTGATTTTTGGATTCTATTTCTCTTCTCGTGGAATCCGAACGGTTACTGTTGGGGTTTTTTGCTCGCGACTGTTCGTCTCTATCCCTTTGGGATTTCTGGCCGATTCTTTTGATTTCTCACCTATTGGGCGTGGGTTCTTTGGATTCAACACGCTACTGGGTGGATCTTCACTGGTACGGTACTGTCAAATTTCAAATTTTGATTTTTGAATTTTGATTTTCATTCTCTGCCTGTGTTTCGACCCTTGGGTTTTCTGGTATTTCTGTGTTTTGTTCTTCCATGGGTAAAAAGAAAAAACCATCCCATTCCACTTCTGGAGTTGGTGCGTTGGTCCAGCCTGTCGGTTCATCCACCGGCTGCTCTGCTGGTGATGCAGCTTCGGTTCCCCTTGCGAATGTGTTACGGAACTGCCTCCCTGCTAGCCCTGTTCCTCATGGTCTGGGTGGCAATGTGGTCGACAATCTCCCTAAATCCCCTAGTATTTCATGCTCGCTGGGTACTGAGGATACGGTTTCTGATGAATCAGTGGGCAAAAACAAGGAGGGAAGTAAGGATAATCAGGGAACTACTTCGAAGGTGGGTAATGCTCCATGGGTTAATCTTTTTAAAGATAACCGTTCTTGTGATGAGAATGTTAAATTGGAAACCTTCCATAACCCGGAGGAAGAGGTCTGTGTCTCTGATGATGAAATGGACAATGTTGAGAAGGCTTGGGGGTTTGGTTTAATTGGATACTTCATTGGTAGATTCCCAGGTAAAAATGCTTTACTAAAACTGTGTGATTCATGGAAGGTCAGCTACAAATATTGTGTCCATTCCAGTGGTTGGCTCATATTCAAGTTCGAAACTGATTCGGAAAGACTCAGTGTCCTACATGGGGGTCCATACTCAGTGTTTGGAAGACACCTTACTCTCAAGGTAATGCCTAAACTTTTTGAATTTGATGACAAAGGGGTGAGTTTAATGCCAGTTTGGATTAATATGCCTGGGTTACCTTTGGAGTTGTGGAATGTTAAAGTGCTGGGAAAAATTGTTTCTAAAGTAGGCTCCCCTATCTCTATGGACAAAGTTACATTCTCTAGAGAAAGAATATCGTTTGCCAGAGCACTTGTGGAGGTAGATGCTTCGAAGGAGCTAGTTAGGGTTGTTAAAATCAAGTTCCCTAATGGCAATGTTAGAGAACAGGAAATTATTTATGAACAAGAACCGAAGTTCTGCAACAACTGCAAAGTATTCGGGCACTCCTCTGTTGGCTGCATTCACAGTAGGGAGGCTATAGGTGAAACGAAAGCTAATCCTAATACTTCCAATGTTGAGAATACCTTCAATGTTGCTAAGGCACAGGATAATCAGGATGCTGCTCAGACTAACGTTGAAAGGGCAGAAACTATTGAAACAGAAAATGCACCGTTGAAGCTTATATCTACGGATGGTAACCTCAATACAGCAGGACTTAAATCTGATTGTAACACAGATGTGGAGACTGCAGTTGTGAATGATAATGCTGGAGGAACGGAACAGACGGAAAAGGAGCCTTTACAACATCAGGATACTTCTCAGACTGATGGTACCGAAGGTAACTTCACTGAAGTTACAAAAAAGAGAAAAGTTCCTAATAAGAGGAGCAATGTGAAGGTTACAGGAGATGGCCTTACCTTTATTCGTCCTGCAATAAAGGTTCATGCTAATAATAAAGGGAAAGCCACCAAGGGTGAGCAAAGGATGACCTCCAACAAAAACACTAAGAAGATGGGGACTGCCCCTCCTTCATCCTCATGAAGTTTGCATCTTGGAACATTAGAGGTATGAACCTACCTCTTAAACAAAACGGGGTTCGGGATTTTGTTAAGGTGCATGATATCGATGTGATGGGAGTGTTGGAAACTAAACTTGTGGAATCTAAGTTGAAGCGAGTGATGAGAAATAAATTTAAGGGATGGTCTCAAACCAATAATTTTAGTTTGCATGGGGCAGGTCGAATTTTAGTTCTTTGGAATCCAACCAAAGTTTTTTTGGAAGTTAAGGATTGCTCTCAGCAATCCATTCACTGTATTGTCACTTGTAAAATTACTTCTTGCATTTTTAATGTGAGTTTCATATATGGTTTTCATACAATTGTTTCAAGAAGGCCTCTTTGGCAGGATATTATGGGCATGAATGCTCGAGTTCCGTGGCTCCTATTAGGGGATTTCAACAATGTCCTAAAGTTTGAGGAAAAGAGAAATGGTTTGGAGGTTACTCCATATGAACTGAGAGATTTTAGCAACTGCTGCTTACAAACTGGGCTTTCTGATCTCAGATCCACAGGGTGTTTCTATACGTGGACTAATAACACCACTTGGAGTAAACTGGACAGAGCTATGGTAAATGAGGCTTGGGTCCAAAGCGAGAACATTGGATGTGCGGAATTCCTTCCTTCTGGTTATCTTTCAGATCACTCTCCGTGTATTGTATCTATTCTGGATGGGCAGACAAGTTTCAGAAGACCCTTCAAGTTTTTTAATATGTGGACAGAACACTCGGACTTCATGGAGGTTACTCAAAGTGGCTGGAACACTGGTTTTACGGGCACAAAACAGTTTCTTTTTTGTAAAAAGCTACAGAACCTCAAAACAGTTTTGAAGAGACTGAATGCCAAACATTTTGGTCACATCTCATATAGGGCTGATGTTGCTAAATCTGAACTTGAGAGGGGACAGAAACTACTGCATGATCAACCTTTTAATTCTCAACTACAGAATGAAGTTGCCGAACTCAGGAAAAAAGCTGCTGGGCTTTGTGAAGCTGAACGCAGTTTTTTTTATCAGCAGGCCAAATGTAAATACCTTATCAACAGCGATAAGTGTACCAAATTTTTCCATGCAATGATGAAAAGAAATTCTAAAAGGAATTTTATTTCCAAAGTACTGAAGGTTGATGGGAGTTTTACTACCTCACAGGAGGAAGTTGCAAACGAATTCACCAACTTCTATAGATCCATACTGGGAAACAAGTGTCCGAATACTCCTGTTGATCTTAACATTCTCAGAGAAGGTCCTGTGGTCAGTTTGGAACAGGGGAATGCACTGATACAGAATATCTCATACCAAGAAGTGAAAGAGGCCCTTTTTGACATTGGGGATGACAAGTCACCCGGCCCAGACGGATTTACAGCGTGCTTTTTTAAAAAAGCCTGGGCAATTGTAGGGGATGACTTTGTGGAGGCAATCTTGGAATTTTTTAATTCTGGTTCTCTTCTTAAACAATTGAACCACACGATTATTGCATTGGTTCCTAAGTCGAACCACACTGATAATGTGGGGGATTATAGACCCATTTCCTGCTGTAATGTCTTTTATAAGACCATTGCCAAGATCCTTGCATCACGGTTAAAATTGATTTTGGGAAGCATAATTGATCAGGCACAATCTGGCTTTGTGGAGGGAAGAAGCATGATGGAAAATATTCACTTGGCTCAAGAACTCATGAGACAGTATAATCGAAAGCGGGTGGCCCCTAGATGCCTACTTAAGATTGATCTTTGCAAGGCTTATGACTCGGTGGATTGGGATTTCCTCAGACAAATGCTCATGGGCTTACAATTTCCCCCAATGTTTGTCACATGGATTATGGAGTGCGTCATTACCACTTCTTACTCTGTAGCACTGAATGGAGGCATTCATGGTTTTTTTAAAGGAGGCAAAGGTTTAAGACAAGGTGACCCCCTTTCACCTTTTCTTTTTGTTCTATGTATTGAATATTTATCCAGAATGATAAATGCTAACACTAAGGATAGCGATTTCAACTACCACCCGAAATGTGGCCCACTAAGAATCACACATCTAGCCTTCGCGGATGACATTATGTTCTTTGCAAGAGGAGACACAGGCTCAGTAAAAATTATGATGGATTGCCTTCAATATTTTGGGGATGTCTCGGGACTGAAAATGAATAATTTTAAGTCCAGTTTGTTCACGGCAGGTGTTCATGGTCAGGACCTTGTGGATATTCAAGTGCTCACTAATATCCCCAAGGGCACAATGCCCTTCAGATACTTGGGCATACCACTTGCATCGGAGAAATTAAAAGTTAGCTCCTATGCACCTTTTCTGGATAAAATTGCTTCATATATTAATGTTTGGACACAATCCTCCCTATCATATGCGGGAAGGGCAGAATTAATCAGGGCAGTGCTCCAAGGGGTTGAGTGTTTTTGGTTATCCTTACTCCCTATTCCGTCCACTATTATTGCGAGAATCACCTCACTTTGTCGGAATTTTTTGTGGGGATCAAAGAAAGCTCCGGTGGCTTGGAAAGATTTGTGCTTACCCAAAAGGGAGGGTGGTTTGGGCTTCAGGGATATGAAGTGCTGGAACTCAGCATTATTAGCCAAAGACTTATGGAACATTCATCATAAAAAAGACTCTCTTTGGATCAAATGGATGAACCAGGTTTATATCAGAGGAGCCAACATATGGGTTATTCAGTCACGCAAGGACCATTCTCCGCTTTTTAAAAGGCTTTTGGAAATCCGAAATTCGATCCTTGCACAGCAACATTTTGGACAGTCCTCTTTGGATATTGACAGGCTGAATCTCGGTCAGATTTTGGGTACTTCCGACTTGATTTTTTCAGTGGCAGACGCCTATAATTTCTTCCGTCCCAAGGGTACTCCGAAAATCTGGGCAAATGTAATATGGAGACACTACATTACACCGAAGCACTCTTTTATACTTTGGTTGGGGGCCCAATCAAAGCTCCTAACAAGGGACAAGCTACACTATCTGGATATTGATAGGAATTGTATTTTTTGTGCAATGTGTGAAGAGACATCCCAACATTTGTTTTTTCAATGTTCCTTTACTCGGAAAATCTGGGACTGCATTAAAGAATGGCTGGGAATATCTAGAGCCATGACCACCTTAGCTAGTGCACTCAAATGGATGAAGAAGGAAGCCAAAGGTACATCATGGAAGAGCAAAGCTAAAGTTATTGGCCTTGCTAGCACAGTATACTACATATGGATGACAAGAAACCGATTGATTTTTGAAGATCTTCACCCTCATGTGGATAGCATTGTTCGACGGATTAAAACAAATGTATACAAGGTAATGTTCACTTTGTATCCAAATGTTTTAGTTTGTTATGAATCACTTATTTTGGGCTGAATTTACCTTTATTGATTGGGTATTTCTCCTTTTGGTAATCACATGATTGTATAGAGGCATTGTTTTGCCAATATTGTTAGTACTTTTGACATTGTTGACATTGTGTTGATTCGCTCGGGTATGCCCGGAGTACCATGTAATATGGCTTTGATCTATTAATTAATTTTTACCGATCAAAAAAAAAAGAAAG